TGTATATATAAAAATTTGTTGAAACGAAAATTTTTAATTAATAAAAAAAGGAGGACAAGACCAAAATTCGTTGAAACAAGATTTGTTGAAATGAGGCTTGACTGTAATGACAATTAAATTATTTTGTATTTTCCGTATAATAAAGATTGTGTAGGTGATAATTTTGAATGTCAATCAAAAACTATGCTGACAGCATAGTGGACTTTTGATTCATGTAACATGACTATTGAAAATTTTTGCCAATCGCAATTCATAATAGATACAAACATAAAATTATGACAGTAAAATAACACTAGTAAAATTTTTATTTTGGCATCAAACATGCCCCATATCCTTCTAATAAAGATCAATCTTTATTAATAATCATAAAATTCAAGTCCATATTAATATATATTTTTTTTTTAGATGTTCAGGTAAACAAAAAGTTAATGAATCTTATCTTTATTTACAAGTATATGAATTAACAACTAAAAGAGGAACTATTAAATTAGAAAAAATGAAATAGATGACTTGAGCAACTTTCTATTGAAACCATAGTATAAAAAAACCTACATCAATATATCATACAAGAAAAAAATTCTATATCGTCTGAGTATTATCTTAATATTAAGGAAATCTCCACCATATTCTTTAACACTGTTTGTGTATATTGTTAATGGATAATGCCTGCTTGTATGTATACAATTGTTTAACATTGTGATCATTAGATGGACTTTCTTCAATAATATGAACAAAATAAATAAAAATAGATAATATATTAATATTAATGATATCTTACACATTATAAATATATATCCTATTTCATTATGTGTTTTAACCTGTAGATATAGTAATAACATAATAGATATTATTATTATGATTTTTTAGAAATGTCTAACAGCATGAAGAATATTATGAAAGAGTGTTGATAAAATGTTTAAAAAAAAAAAAACTAAATAATGTTAATAAGTTTACCACAAGTGTAAGGGAAGGAAATGTGATTTATTAATCTCAACAGTTCATATAAAATATTGACAATGTAAAAGATCAGTAGTATTGTATAATAACGAAGTAAATTATAATAATAAAAATATAATAAAAACATTAACAAAGGTACCTAAAATCATGACAATTTCAGAAAGCTCCATGCAGATTTACTGTCGTCAACCTATAAACTTTGCTTCTTGTTCATCTCTGCAACTGAACTTGATGGACTTGATGGGAAAGAACTTTCAGTATATAAAGCACCCAAAGAATGTTTATGCAAAGTTTCACGCATATTTGTTTGTGGAATTTTTATGTCACATTAATGAATATTTTAAAGTACTTTTTCAATTAATTTTGTTAGTTGCACAATAAAATATGATCGTCACTTTATGTTGCATTTAGTGATAAAATCGAAAGTCCACTATGCTGTCGGGTGCACCATAGATAATAAATGAAATAAAAATTTAAATGCCTCTAGCTAAACCCATTTGGACTCACTTCAATAAACTTGGTCAAATATCAGGCTTTCAGCAACCTTGTGCACAATGCAAATATTGTAACTATGAAATAAATGCTTGCTTATATTCATGATGAGAAATGAAATCAATTAACACCCCTAAAATTGGTATATATTTATAGTAATTATAAATTGCAAACACCACAAGAGACATCAGTGTGGAAAAGATTTTTAAATGAGTCAGAAGAATTGGATAAAAATTTATTGGATGGGGATAATATTGAATTTATAGAAAATGAAATGCAAAATCAAAATGAAAATGAAGAAAGTGAATATTTTAGTAACAATAGTAGTAGTGAAAGTGAAGAAGGGAATGAAAAATTCAATGATTTTTATGATTCTGATGTAACTTACTAAGTTAGTAAAATAATAAATTTTTATAATAAAATTTTGTATTCTAATCACAACAACAAACATATGTTTTACTACATCTAAACTAAAATCATGAAGATATGGCGGATGTTTTTAAAAATCATTGATAATTTACTATGTGCATAATGCATATTATGCACATTATGCACACAATAAACTAAGTATTTTGCATTTTTGCCCATCCCTAGGAACAACAAAATGGGGAAAAATTTTAAAACTACTTTTAGATGAAATAAAATCAAACAATGCAAATAAACACTTAATAGATATGGATCTTGTTGCTCTTGCAAAAATGATGAAATCCTCCTTGGGTGAATCACTTGAAGATTCTGTAGACAACATTATTTATTATATGTGGTACACAAATCATTGGTAAGTATATAAATATTGTTTGCATATGTTATGGATTTACATTATGAAGGAATCTATCAAATGTTTTTGATTGGGGAATTTTACCTTCCTCATGGTCCTGAAATAAGGTTGCTTGCCGAAATCTCTTAGCGACTGTCAAAACTCTAATGAACAATTAGTATATACCTTGTCAAAACTCTGACAATTGACAAAACCCCCAAATGCGAAACTCTGCCAAAACTCTAATAAACAATTAATGTGTAACCTGTCAATTGATTTCTGGAGAAGTTTTGCCCACAACCTTAGCCTGAAAGCTGGGGTAATTTGTTGAGGTGTTTCCAAGTATTAGTTACAATAAAGGTAGGCAAATTTCAATATTAAATATTTACATTTGCATAATAATTAATAATAATAATATTTCATTCAGGATTTAGTTGAAAGCTCAGCTGCACTATATCAATCAATTATTAAGAAAGGAATATGTCTTCCAACTCACCTTAAACAAGATTTAAAAAGAGAGATGATCTGTAAGTCCAAATATACAGAAATGAGATTTATACATTAATAATTATATTTTATGCTAAATATTCTTTCTTTGCTTTAAATCCCTTCTGTGTTGCAAAAGAAAACTCTTGATCTCTCTCATATTGTTTCTCTTTTTGTTTATTCCTTATTATTTTTATATATTCTACTCTCATGTGAAGATAGTGATTATTTTTACATACTTTATATGAAAATACACTAGCAAAAAAATTTGGGCTTGAATTTTATCATTAATTGATGATTCTATTGTGATCTGCAAATTTTTTTTTTGGGGATAAGCTAAATATACTAATACTTACTAATAACTTCACAAAAAAATCCCACTCCATTTCAGTTACTCTTTTGGACTATAGTTATTCAGTATATGAATATTTTTCAAAAAACTGATGGCAGCCCAATAGTGTTGTAATTATTGGGTTCCATGGTAGTGTAACAATTCTAGATAATAATCATTTCATATGATTATTTGTTATTAATATTAACAATATTTGATGACAATTTTTTATGGTCCCTTTTTTCCTCTAAAAAAGGAAATCGTGTAACAAAAACTTTGTTATAACATTCAAAAATACATGATATATAAAGTTTTTTTTATTTTGCAGAAGGTATCTGTGGAATATGTTTATTTTGCATAATTTTTTTGGGAATAGATAAATATTACAATTACAAACTTTCAATTGCTAAGGCTTCTGAAAAAATCATCACATCTATAAAATTATTAGAGGCTTTTAATCAGTAGATGTTTCTAGAATAGTGCTATGGAACAATTTTTTTGTAAGTTGCAATAGATAAAAAGTAATATGATAAAGAAAGAAATTTTATGTATTTCAAATGAGTTTTTTTACATTATTGGTATTTTATATACATTTAAATGTTTCCATAGCTCTATAATATAATATTTATACTATCTTTTATGCAAATTTGGTACCTATATCTTTGAAACGGAGGAGGATTAGTTGGTTTAAAAGCAATACATCTACTATTACTATGCTCTTTACATAAATTCGGAAATTCTGTATGTGGTATGAAAAAATCACATATAACCAACCAATCAATATATGACATTAATTAGTTTTGATTTTCTTACGTAGAATGTCGCACACCCCAACAGCCGTAGATGAATTAGTTATTTATATCAGTGATCGTCACAACCAACCAATAAGATTTTAGTAATTACTTAATATTAATATTAATAGTCTGCCTGTATTATAATAATCCGTAGTCCTGTTGCAGTATACCCCATATAAGGGTAATTAATTGGGTATCTCATATAAAATTTTAATTAGTATTAGTATTATATGTAATGTAATGATTCTCACATGACTTTTATATGAGCATTTAAGTTAGTAAAACAAAATGCAAGCTTAAAGTTGTGTGACGATATTCGAAAAAATTTCAATATTCGTAATAATCACAAAATGTAAAATGATACCATGAGCAAGTTCAATTATACAAACAAGGACAATTATATTCCGTGCTACATATCCATTTATTGTAGGGCACTGTACAACACTTTCCAAATTTGCAATATATTAGTATTAGAAAAAGAAATCGTGACACGACTTTTTTTATTTGCGTTAATGAAAAATTAAACGATTGTTTATAAAATATTACAGAAAAGAAAAAGAAGTAAAGAAAGCAAAGGAAGAAGGAAAAAAAGGAAGGAAGGAGGAAGGAAGAAAAAGAATTAAGAAAACAGTAAATTATTAGTATGATTGATTGTTCTTTAATTTTACAATGGGAACAAAGGAGTGATTTTCAAATATTGTTAAAAAAATAACATCATCATCATTAATGAAAAACTAAAAATTTTATTTGATTTTGTTTCTGTTTTTGGTTGACAAATAACTACAATTTTATCATTTAACAAAAATTTACATGTATGATTTGACGCGTCATCTAAGAAAATATCAGCAAGTAATTTTTTTTTTCTATTGTTCAAATAATGGAATTTTTAAGCTTTGTTTTGTGTTACAAACACAATTCATTTATTTGCTTACTATTGTACAACTTTGTATAATATTACATTTAATATATATATTAATATTGATTATATGCACCGTGAACAATATCTTCAAAAATTAATTTTAAAAAAAAATTTGTATAAATTTAATAAATCGTCTAAATAATAATTAATAAAATTAAAAACCAAATTAAATCACACATACAATCAATCAACAATCAATAAACAATTAATCAATAAAAAACCTAATCATATACAACTTTAACAGTCAAACAAAATCTTCACAAAATGTCAACAGCAGCAACAACTACTCAAACTATAACACCATCATCAGTTGACAAATCAACACCACCAGATTTTGGTAAAAGCCTTCAAAATTATGATCACTTATATATGATTGATGATATTCCAGTTACATATATTCTTGAAAAACTAAGACTACTGGGACCAAGCTACTATAGTGATAAGGCAACAGCTTTTGCAGAGCTCCGAGTTCAAGGAATCGATAAACCTTTCTGGATACACAAAGAATACTTGGTACTACAGTCCAGGTTTTTCCAAGAAGTTTTCAAACAAATAACAAATGGTGATGTAATCACAATAAAAGTGCCATTCCCAGAAGTATTTGAAATAATTTTAAAATTTCTTTACGATGGTGATGGTAATAAATGGTATGGATCAATGACAAAAGAAAATTTTTTCAAGATCTGGAGAAATGTTGAATTTCTTCAATTAGGAAATGAAGCTAAAGCTGTATGTAATGCTTATTATGTAAATGTATTGAAAAAATCATAATAGTTGTTTTTTGGAATGAACTATTTCAATTATTTCACTAATAAATTTCATTTTGTAAATTTGCATTTTTATTTTTAAATTTTAAAACAATTTAAATTATATACATATTTTAAAAATCTAATCATATCAAACCCTCTGAACTACAAATAAACATCCTTTTTTAATATTAATTGATGATGTGTAATAACTAAATGTGGGGGGACGTTTGGATAACTTAAGTTACGAAGCCCCTTTTTTGATTGACTAATTTTAATTAATTAGTCGATTGAGCATAATAACAACCAATTATATCACGAAGTTGCTATCATAATAGAACTGCGGACTTTACCATAATATTTTACGCTGTTCACAAATGAATCGTCAATTTTCCTTTATTTCCTTCCATACTTGATTCAATCCAATTCTTCCTCAACTTCATTACGTATTTAGCCAATTTTCTTTCAAGTTCTTTATCACCCAAAGCACCCATGCCAATATTATTGATTAAAAATTTGTATGATTCAAGTTATTATTTTCATATCTCATATCATGCTCACTAAGTTTTAAGGTTGCTTTTAGTTTTAAATAGATCAATTTGTAATTTAAAAAATATCTTTTTTATTGTTAATGTTACTACGTCTAGGTTAATAATGATTTTAAGAATTTCGACTGTTATTTTGGTTTTTTTTTATATTGACTTTATTGCGTTGTATATCTTTTCAATGAAATTTATCAACGTATATAAAATAACAAAATTTCCAAAATAGAAATTAAACAAATTAAGAAAAGATAATCAATCAGTTGTAAAATAGGTCAATCCTTTAATTAATTAATAAAAACGAGATATTAAGAAAATAGATTTTTATTTATTATTCTAAAAAATAAAAAATCCTACCTAATTTCTAAAAGCCCAAATGTTTTATTTACAAATTAATAATCTATATTTTTTAATTCAATCTATCAATTGTTTGGTTGAAGCCCTGATAAAATCAAGTAAAAAAAAGTGAAATGTAAAAAGAAATTTTTGTTTGTTTATAGTTCATTCCCAATTGTCACCCAATAATCTCTCAAGTTATTTTTTCTACCAAATATTTCTAAAAAGGTTCCTAATCAAACAAATAAAAAAGTGTGAGGGGGGAAAAGTAGAAAACGAATAAATAAATAATAAATTTTTTACCATTTGGAACCAATTCTTCTATCATTTCATATAATTCTTCTGGTTTTTGACTTTGACCTCTTCTTTCAGAATAAATAACATCTGAAGAAATTGAATGATTACATCCTGGAGGATCTTCTCCCTTACAAATATTCATCATATATATATATTCAATTAATTCATCATTGATTCAATTAATAATAATAATAATTAACTTTTTTCATTTGTTACCTTTCTTCCAACCAAACAAGTTTCTTTGGCATGTTGCAAATAAAATCCATGCCCTTTAGCCATTCTTCTATTAACTGTTTGTTTAACCCATGTAATATCATCACAATACCTGAACAATAATAAGTAGCGGTGGTAATGATAATTCAGCATATTTCAATATCTTAAATGTAATATTTATTCAAAAGACTTACGTGTAACCCCATTTTCTCATCATTTCAAAAGCTTTAGAATATTTAGCATTTATCACCCAGATAAATAAGAATCCATTTTTTTGCAATTTAGGAATTGGTAATTCCTCTATATAAATATCTGGAAGTTGTTGATAGCCTATAGCTACCTTTTAAATCATCATATTATTGTTAATAAATATTTTAAACATTAGAAAAAAAAAGATTAAAATACTTTACACCGCGTGTTGGAGCATGAGTTGCTAATTGCCATGGCGGATCCATAAGTATGACATCAAATTGACAATCTTTGGCAAGTTCCTATAATAAAGAAAAAAATTTTTTTACATAATAAAGAAAAGTTTCTTTTATTTTGTAACTAGGAAATTAATTGATTCGTTAATTGATACGTACATCCCATTCAAAAGTTAATACATCTGCTTTTATAGGTATACACCATTCAGGTGCTTCAAATTCTTCCCAGCAAATCTCTATTCACAATGTCAAAATTGTCAAAATGAGCAACCAATAATTATTAGTGGTCTAGTAAGAAAATCAAAATCAAATATAAACTTATATTTATTACCTTCTTTTATTTCATCAGTTTCTAAGGCTTTACCTTTATCATTTTCTCCATTATCAGTTAATGTGTTATTAGTATCATTAGTACCAGAAATTGCTAAAATTTTTTCTAATTTAGAAATTTCATCTTGTAATTTATTTATTTGTTCTTTGATTTCAGTTTCACGTTTTATTAAATTTCTTAACTGTATTTGTGTTGCTGAATCCAAAATGTTGTTTGTGGTATTTTCTTCGTAATCCATATCAACATCGAATTCTGACATTTTTTTATTTTGAAAAAAATAGATCTCGTCACGCTTTTATAGAAAAATTACATAATATAGTTGGCTCGGTCTAAAGACCTCCTAAATTTTGGGCGAATTTTAAAAGTATAGAAGTCACTTTCTGTCCTACCTTTTAAAAAAATAGCTCTATTAGTTGATAGAATATGTCTTT